ACAATGGATTCAGTAAGTGTAACAAATTTTGCCCCTTAGAAATATCAATAAACCTAATGTTAAAAATGTATTAGCATAATTTCAGCTGTACTAATAATAAATTAAAACAAATTTCAGAGACCAGCTTAAAAACAAGCAAACATTATGAGATAAAAAATGAAGCAACAACAAAAAAAAATTAATAATACAATGCATGTAAGAGCAAATTCATCTCAGTATCCGTGTGGCTGAAAGACATGACTCAGAAATGACTCATTCTGGCAGACAACCAGGCTGCTCACTCCCAGCTCTTAGCTAAGCAGGAAAGTAAATCCAAGAGGTGTGGATCAAGTCGCTGTGGATCAGAAAGCATAAAGTCAAATTCCTCAAGTATCCCTCGGGTGTCTTTTCACAATGCTTGCTAAGGATTCTGAGCAGCCGTAGCAGCATTTATAGATGGAGTCAATCAGAAGGTTCTTGGGTTGGGTCCTGGCTTGCTCATGCAACTGGGAGAGACTCTGTGGAATTTGATCAGCTATGATTTCAGTGTCTTTATGCCAGCATGGCTGTGTTTGGATCTGTCCCTGTGTGGATGAGTGGCTTGTGGCCTCCTGGGGGAAGAAGATCACTCCTGAAGTCTGGCATGCTCAAGAGCTGCCTGTGCCTATGCAGCCAACAGTGTGGTGCTTAGAGATGGCCAGCTGGCAGTCTGCAGGCTGAATCTAGCCCCCAAACCAAGAGCTCACCCTAGCAGAATTGATTACTTCTACTGGTCCCATCACCTCCTGGCAAATAGAAGGGGAAGATATGGAGGCAGTGACGGATTTCACTTTCTTGGGCTCCATGATCACTGCAGATAGTGACAGCAGCCCCAAAATTAAAAGGCCCCTGCTCCTTGGGAGGAAAGCAATGGCAAAGCTAGACAAAGCTTAAAAAGCAGAGACATCACCTTGCCGACAAAAGTCTGCATAGTCAAAGCTCTTGTTTTTCCAGTAGTGATGTATGGAAGTGAGAGCTGGACCATAAAGAAAGCTGACCGCCAAAGAATTTATGCTTTTGAATTGTGGTGTTGGATGAGGCTCTTGAGAGTCCTCTGGACTGCAAGGAGAACAAACCTATCCATTCTAAAGGAAATCAACCCTGAGTGCTCACTGGAAGGACAGATCCTGAAGCTGAGGCTCCAATACTTTGGCCATCTCATGAGAAGAGAAGACTCCCTGGAAAAGACCCTGATGTTGGGAAAGTGTGAAGGCAAGAGGAAAAGGGGATGACAGAGGACAAGACGGTTGGACAGTGTCATCAAAGCGGCCAACATGAGTTTAGCCCAACTTCGGGAGGCAGTGGAAGACAGGAGGGCCTGGCTTGCTCTGGTCCATGGGGTCACGAAGAGTCGGACATGACTTAACGACTAAACAACTGTAATGGATATCTTGTTCTTCTAGCCTTAACGATAGTGGTGATTTCATGTACATCATTTAATTTCATCCCATAAAACAACTGCCATCATCACCCCTATAGCGTAAAGACTCATTTCATGTGAACTGGGGAAGTTCTGCAACAGCTCCCTTCATGCCTGTTTTGCCAGAAATGCAGCATCCTCCCATTTATCTGAACCATTTGGATCTGCCTGTTGCACAATCTCAGCCTGTCATCATTCCATGCCTCTCCAATGCAGTGTATATTCAGAGAGAAGTAGAATGGCCTTTTGGAGCAGCGTTTGGTCACGTTGAAACATTGTCAGGGATTATTTTGTTGTGAAATAGATGCCCCGAGAGGGAAGTAATGGGTTATAGCGGCACTTTGCCCCATCTTAGGTCACCCATTTCGACTTGGGCCTTGGTGATTAATAACAGATAATCATGTCCAAGGAACAGCTGTTCTTCATTTTCTTGTGGCAAATGGCACTCTGATCCCAGTCCCTGAAGCAAGGCCAGCACGGATCACTCCAGCTGGTGATCAGCAGAAAGGCCTCGCTTTACTGTACTTTAGCAAAGAGGATAAAATGGCAGAATTATACATTTGTTTTTCTTCCCTTGTTCTTTGATGCTTCATCTCAAATGCTTCCATTAACTTTTGAATTAATTGGTGGCAGTACACCTCAGCCTCATAGTCCACTTTACCTGGCAATTGAGTTAGTTCTCTATGTTGTGACTTCTTTTAATTACCTTCACTGCTTTATAAGGTTGAAACACCACATTTTTTTTCTCTGTGTATAAGGTACTGTGATGTTTTCTGTCAGTCTTGATCTGCAGAGCCATAATAACTATCCATTTTGGCAACTGGGGTAAATGGAACAGTCTTAGTCCCACTCTGCTGTGAGGCACGGGCGTGGGTCACCAATTAAAAAGGAAAAGAAGGAGGGTGTAGTGTCCCTCCCAGAGAAAGAAAAGGTTTATGCTTCCCAAAATGGAAAGCAAGAAAATATGAGAAAAAAGGGGACAAGGAGGAAGTTAAGTTTATTTTCTGAAGCACTTCCCAGTATCTCTAGATTTTGATCCCCTCTGCATGTTGGGGACAGGTTTTGCTCCACCATAGATATACAGACATGCTGATATGGGAAGCTTCCCCTGACTCTCCTCTACAATACCTCCAAGTTTGGTGAAGATTGAGTTGCCCCAAGCCAGCTACTAAATGGTACTTTCCTTGGGGGGATGTAGTTTGTGGGTGTATAACTTGAATGTCTGAATCCCCGTCTTCACCAAACTTGGTGGGATTGTAGAGGAAAATCAGGGAAAGCTTCTCTGTGATTTTGATATCTCTAGGTGCCTGGGGAGGGGGCAATTTTGCTGGAGGAAGCTCTTTGTGGGTGTATAACTCGGACATCCAAAACCCAAACTTCACCAAAGTTGCAGGGCTTGTAGAAGAGAGGGGGAGTGTCCCTGGGGTTTTGGTGTCTCTAGGTGCTGGGTGGTTGTTTAGTCGTGTCTGACTCTTCGTGACCCCATGGACCAGAGCACGCCAGGCCCTCCTGTCCTCCACTGCCTCCCAGAGTTGGGTCAAATTCATACTAGGTGCTGGGAGGGGGCTGTTTTATAGGATTTTAAAGTAAAAAAATGAATCAACAAATTGATTCATCAGTTTGTCAGAAAAAAATAAATTATTTGTGATTTGTCAACCTCAATGAATCATGAATCAAAATGAATTACCATTTTTTCCCTGATTTGTGCCCATCTCTAATCACAACTTGTGGTGTTCTAGCACTATTTCTGATAGATCCTGATGTCAGACTGAGAAGAAGCCGCCTTGAGCCGTCAGGGCTAGAAGGAGCAGAACTGCGTGCTGTCCATTTTGTATACCATCAAAACTATTAATTTTAAGGCAAAGGGAAAGAGAATCTAGGACAACTGTGAAGGGTGGAGGAAGGGAAACGATGATACTTAAGCTTCCCTATTGTGACTAGAATAGCCACAAAAGGGCTTTACGGTGCCCTTCCGATGCTACTTCTCTCTGCCTGAAATCTCGGTTTCTTTTATTAGGTGTTCCACAACCAGTGCAGAAGTTTCAAGATACTTTAGAGTTCCTGTTCCCTGAAATTTCTCCTGTTTCCTCTTCCTATTTCTACACTGCATTGCTACTCACTAGTCTAGCTAACTGTTTAAGGCTTGTGCTATGGCTGTGGTACCTTTCTGAATCAGGACCAGAAACACATCAATGCAAATCAAGCCAACTTGGTTCCCCATGCTATGTATTCCAGTGATTTCTAGCTTTTCAGTTTATTTTTCCAATAAATACATGATTCCATACACCTACATGTCATTTCCGTTAATAACCATCATCTGCTTAGGCGCTGCAAATCAATAATGCCTGTAGATTATATTATTAGAAAGGTACAGATTGTGTAAACAACTCTAGCCTCCTTCATTTCACTCTGTAGGTTAAATTTTCTAAGAGGTTCTGCTTTCGGAGGCTTCTGTTGTTAAGAAAACAGATAGTGAGCCTTACCTCTAATCAGCACCTATACCATTGCTTACTGCATTGCAATTTGTACTGGGCTTTGCAGCTGCATACAGGAGTGCTCTGCCATGCAGTGTTCAAGAGAAAAGGAAGGACAGATGAGTTTATATTAGTTTGTAGTAGCTAGTAGTGACACAAGGGAAAAAAACATTTCTCCTCCTGCTCCTGCTCTTTATGTGCTGTGGAAGAGGGAAATTCAGTAGGAGTGATTTATTGGGCCATGTTAGGTGCTGGCAAATTGAATGCTCTTGAACATTTCACAGAATTTGTTTGATGAATCCTGTGTGCATCAGAAGCTTGCATATTTCTACACCACTCTAAGTTAGTCCAGTAATTGGTATTCTGTTACTTACTTTGAACTTCCTACTTGCAAATAAAGCATGATGAAGTCTATTTACAACTACCTTGTTAAGATGCTTGTAAAAACTGCTGTGTTATTTTCTCTGACGTAGATTTATTCTCATGCTGTGGTGCTTTATATTTGCAGCTACATGGGATTGTATTTAGATACTCAGTCAGTCGTCCCTTCTATAAAATGTGTTGCTGTAAATAAAAAAACTTTATGGACCTCCCGGGATATCCTTTCTAAGCTGAGAATTAAAATATCCTCTGATCCGTGCGTGTAAAATGGAAAGCACCCTCTGCTCTGATGCTAATTTACAGTGTAAAACTCTAAATATAAATTGGCAGTTGCTCTTTGAAATTCATATTCATCATCATATATAATTGTTGAGGTTTTTTCTTCTTTTTTTATGAGAAATCGCTTAAAGGAAACCATAAACCCAAAATAGAAGTCAAACTAGGGCATTTGTAACACTGTATTAAACACATTTTTTCCACTCTAGAGATAGCTTGTAAGCAAGACTTTGGGTCTCAGCTCTGAAATAATTGAGATTGCTGTTCACCTTTGAGTGTTAGAAGTGAAATCCATGTCTTAATCCCAAGTAAAGTGGACCTGTCAAATGAAAGGGACTGGAAAGTGAACCCATAGGAAAGTGCAGACTTGACCTAATGTTCATGCTAAACTAATATGCTCTCTCACACTGTTCTGGTTTCTTTGTTTTAAGAGCCGCCGTATTTTACCACTGAACCAGAAAGCCGCATTTTGGCTGAAGTGGAGAAAAGTGTGAATATCCAGTGTCAGGGAATGGGTAAGTTCCGCGTCGGTACATAACAGTTAGCTATTTCCCTACTTTCTGCTCTGTTTTTCGCTTGCTCTTTGGCACAATAGGAAGCAATTCCATGAGTCGGGAAGGGGATGATTTATTTATGAGCCACCTTATAAAATAAAGTTCTGTTAAGTGACATGCGTGGTATGAAGCAAAATTAAAATATTTTTTTAAAAATCCAGCAATTAACATTTATGAATGCAAATGGTGCCTGTCTGCCAGGCACATTGCCTCAGCTTCCTCCCCCCCTTTTTTCCCCTGTTTTCTTCTTCTTCTTTACACTTCTGGACTGAAAGGATGTATTGAACAAGTGTAGTTGGCTTAACAAAGATTAGTGTCTTGAGCCGAGTAAAATAATGGAAGAAAAGCAATGGCTCTGAGACCCGTAACACAGGCTGTGGAAAGACCATCAATAATTACAATAGTTAAGGCTCCTTGTTTCTTAAAATTATGGCGCTTTCATAGTAGGAAGAAAATGTCAAGTGTAGTTACCTTTTGGTGGGAGCCATCTTTCATTCCAATTTTAATTTGAAGGTGTTTGAATATCACTGAAACATAGGGCTCAAATCGTAAATAAAATGCCCACCAGTTCAATGATGAGGAACAGCATAATGATGAGTCCAGACGGTCTGTTTATTGTTGGGAGCTACCAGTCTTTAACATGAGCCTGGCTGACAAAAGGAATCATGTGCTGTTAGATGCTTCTCACCTATGGTACACGCTGACTAGCTTCGTGCTCCATTTCTAAGTTTTCCAGTGTCAATGTTATTAGGTGTACAATAAGTACTAACTTTGCTCCTGTTTGTGATAAGCAGCGCTTGGTGGAACTTGATGCCTCAGAGAGGACATAAAATGAAATGGGAGCACCAATCCAGGTGCCTGAGTAATAGTCTTGGGAGCATAACAGAGCCATTCTCTGCTCTGACCATAAAGAGGCAGGAAGTCTCAATTTGTCACAACTCCTATGGGGTCCTTTGGCACAAAACCAATTTATTCTATCTTCGTGCAATGTGAGAGACAAAGATTAAATCTACCATTTTATGTTCCTTTGTGAGAACCGATGTTACAAGTGTTTAAAATTCACTTTTTTTTATAAAAAAAATGCTTATTGTTAGTAATTGGGGAGTGAGTTAAAAGTTTTTTTAATCAATTGGGCTGAAATTCTGTCCTGCAAGGGGAAAAAAAGAGGTTTAGTTGACCCAAATAAGTGATCGAGAAAATGTTTGTTGTTAAAACAAAACAGAACAAAAATGTTGAAAGCCTTATACTGTAAAGTCCTTTTGCCTCTGTTTGTTGTTCTTGTTCTGTGGTGTCAAGTCGGAAACAACTTACAGCGACCCTAGCAGGGTTTTCAAGGTACGTGAGATGTGTAAGGAGGCGTTTTACCAGTTCTTCTCCTTCAGTCAGTTTCCATGGCTGAGTGGGGATTCGCACCTTGGTTTCCAGAGTCCTAGTCTGTCAATCTATCTATCCACTACACCTCACTGGGAACTCTGTATGGCTCTCTATGTAGGCATTATTCACAGCAAGTGACAATTTTACCCATGTCACCTGAGTGGTAAGAAAGATTCAGTTCAGTGGGACTGCCACTCAGTGTAAGGGTGAGGAGATTTACAGCCAACCATGGTTGGTGACCAGCTGAGTTGATCCAAGTGCCAAACTACTTCCCAGACTTGGAATTTTAGGACTTCCTCCACCTCAGTCCAGTTTTGTGCCCCCATATTGATTGCCCCCCTGCTCTAGACGGGGCCTGGATCGGGAATAACTCTCTTCTGCCACACTTTCTCTGCCCCCTTTTTATTTCTTCTCCTGGCTGATCTTAGCCACCCCAGAAGCTTCATTGGCAGGTCTCTGAGACAACTAGCACCGTGATATTTTTGTTTCCTGACATAAGGCAGTTGTGCTGGAAGAAGAGGCTTCTGACCATTTCAAACCCATATCTTTCCGTTATGATTGAGCAGTTAATTACATTAGCCTTGAGCAAAGTCTGAGTTTTCACTGCTGTGATCTTCTTAGCAAAACGTTGGCTCAGAAATCAAACATTAAGGAACAGATGAGCAAAAGCTACTACAGATTTAAATTAATGTCTTCGTCATGTATCTTCTTGAGAAATAAAAGCTTTAAAGATACATTTTGCAGTTATATTGGAGTCAGAAGTTTAAGAATTATGGGCTGGCAAAGCGTATCCCTTCAATGTTACAAATTTGATTTCTTGCTGTTATAATTTCTTTTGGCCTGATGCTTCCCATGTGATACTCAGAGGAGAGCTGGGATCCCCATCACTGATGCAGTCTTTTCCAGCACAAGAAGCATGCTCCCAAACACTGTAGAAAGGGCCAGTTGTATCTGTAAAACTGTATAAATGTATACAGTGGTGCCTGGTATAACGAGCGCCCCGTTTAACGAAGAAATCGCATAGTGATGGCTTTTTTGTCATCGCTTTTGCGATCGCACTACGATCTTGCCTATGGGGAAAAATCGCTTTGCGATTTTTCCCCATAGGCACCATTTCCCCCCAGCTGAGCTTTGAAGCCCCGCC